AGGGCACTCCGGTAGGAAAAAAATGGAGGTGACAAGGTGGCAAAGCATCAGTTTGAGTTAAGAGAGAGTCGGAGGCTTAGCAGAGGTGTCGGAAGAAAATGGCATGAAAGCGGACGGCAATAGGAAGTAAACTAGAACAACTCCGAAAAAAAGTCGAGGGTGATGCAGCAGAGACAAAGTTAGGCCGTTTGCATGCGCCTGACACTTTCTTCTTGGCATGCGGCTTCAGTTAGTGTGCTTGTCATCGTCTGTCTCTTGAAAAAACTTACTCTCTATCACTTCGCTCTCTCTATACTCTCGTTCTCTGTCGCGTTATTATATATACTCGCTCTGACTTCTCTCTCTTCCCACTCTCTCGCCCACACCCTAATCCCTCCTCACGTCCCCATCCCTCCCTCACCCCCCTCCTCATTCCTCCCTCACTCCTCTTACAACCCCCCCATCCCTAAATCTCACCCCTTCCTCATTCCTCCCTTCACTCCTCTTAACACCCCCATCCCTCCCTCACACCCTGCCTCATATCCTCCCCACTCCTCTTACACCCCCATCCCTCCCTCACCCTTCTCATTCCTCCCTCACTCCTCTTACTCCCCCATCCTCCCCACCCCTCCTCATTCCTCCCTCACTCCTTCTTACACCCCATCCCTCCCTCACCCCTTCCTCATTCCTCCCTCACTCCTCTTACCTCCCCATCCCTACCCTCACCCTTCCTCATTCCTCCCTCACTCCTCTTACACCCCCATCCCTCCCTCACCCTTCCTCATCCTCCCTCACTCCTCTTACACCCCACCCTCCCTCACACCCCGTCCTCATTCCTCCCTCAGTCCTCTTAACGTCCCCATCCTTCCCTCACCCCTTCCTCATTCCTCCCTCACTCCTCTAGTCCCCATCCCTCCCTCAGGCCTCCTCAGTCCTCCCTCACCTCTTACGCCCCATCCCTCCCTCACCCCGTCCTCATTCCTCCCGTAACTCCTGCTTACACCCCCCCATCGCCTCCCTCACCCCTTCCCTCATTTCTCCCTCAACTCCTCTTACTCCCCATCCCTCCCTCACCCTCCCATTCCTCCTCACTCCATTACTCCCCATCCCTTCGCCTCACCCCTTCCTCATTCCCCCTCACTCCTCTTACGCCCATCCCCCCCTCACCCCCTCCTCATTCCTCCTCACTCCTTTTTACGTCCCCATCCCTCCCTCACCCCTCCTCATTCTCCCTCAACTCCTCTTACACCCCCATCCCGCCCCTCACCCCTTCCTCATCTCCCCACGTCCTCTTACGTCCCCATCCCTCCCTCACCCCTCCTCATTCCTCCCTCACTCCTCTTACGTCCCCATCCCTCCCTCACCCTTCCTCATTCCTCCTCACTCCTCTGACGTCCCCATCCCTTCCTCACCCATCACCTCCTCATCCATCCCTCTCCCTCCCTCTCTTACCCTCCTCCCCACTCACCCTCCCCCTCTATTGCCCCTCCTCTCTCACCCCTCTCACCCCTCCTCAACTCTGTCGTCTGTGTGTCTTACAGGCAGCATACGGCCACGCTTGCGCGGTGGAGCGGATAGGACCGATCCTGCCCCTTCCTTCCCCTCTCCCTCCTCCCTCCTCACCCTCTCACCCCGCCTTCAACTCGCTCTGTGTGTGCTTGCAGCAGCAGTAGAGCACGTAGCTGCGTGGAGTGTAGACAGAGATCCTTCCCTTTCTCCCCCTCCCCTCCCCTCCCTCCCTCCCTCCCTCCCTCACCCTCTCACCCCTCCCTCAAACTAGTCCTGTGGCTCTGCAGGCCCAGCAGTAGCGACACGTTGGTAGGGGCAGCGTGTAGACGAGATCCCCCCTTTCTCCCCTCCCCTCACCTCTCCCTCCCCCTCCCTCCCTCTCCTTTACCCTCTCACCCTCCCTTCAAACTCTGTCTGTGTGTCTTCAGCAGCAGTAGGATACACATTGGCGTGGTGGAGCCGTTAGACAGAGCATACCTCCTTGCCCCTCCCCCTCCCCTCACCTCCCCCCTCCCTCCACCCTCCTCACCCTCTCACCCCCGCCTCAACTCTGTCTGTATGTCTGCAGGCAGCAGTAGGCCGAGCACATTGGTGAATAGAGGTGTAGACTGATTATCCTCCCTTCCCATCCCCGCCCCTCCCCTCCTCCCTCCCTCCCTCCTCACCCTCTCACCCCTCCTCAACTTGTCTGTGGTCTTGCAGGCAGCAGAAAAACAACAACACAAGGCGAGCACAAATTGTGCGTGGCAAGTGTAAGACAGGAGATCCTCCCCCTCTCCCCTTCCCCTCTCCCTCCCCCTGCCCTCCTCCCCTCCCTCCCTCCCCTCCCTCACCCTCTCACCCCTCCTCAACTCTGCTGTGTCTTACAGGCAGCAGTAGGGAGCACGTTGGTGCGTGGAGTGTAGACAGATCCTCCCCTCTGCTCGCCCGTCCCCTCCCCTCTCCTCCCTCCCTCCTCGCCACCCTCACCCTCTCACCCCTCCCTCAACTCTCTCTGCTGTGTCTTGCAGGCCAGCAGTAGGGAGCACATGTGGTGGCGGTGTAGAACAGAGACTCCGAGAACAGCAACTGGACGAAATGCCTGCAACCAATTCGAAGATCACATTAACCAATCAGAACGCAAAGGTAGTTTCGTGAGCGCCAGCGCGGCGCACTAGTCGTGAAACGCCGCGCAGGGGGGGAAAGTGTTTTTTCGTTTAGGAATCAATATTAACAGAAACGCGGCCCCCCCCGTACGGGACTGCAGCCGCCTCACACCAGGGCACAGTAATCGTACATTATGTTCCTCACAGCGCCTCCCGCAGGGCCCAGCCACTAGAGTACATATTATTTCTGGCAACGCCTCACACTAGGGGGCAAGCATCTCGCCGCCACAATGACGTCCGCGCCGCCCAGCCGCCGCTCCGAATGCGTCCACGACTGACCGCAGGCGCCCTCTATTTTCAGCGCCTCGAAGAACGTCGGCCCGCACCCTCTTCCACATTGGCCGGTCACGCTCGCGTTGCCGTGGAACGCGCGTCACCGTGATGACGACGACGAACTAGAGGCGACACCTAGCGACACGCACGAGCAACTTCCGCACTCGACGACGGCGACAAAGGGAACGCATGCCGCGCTGGAGCGCCGAAAGGAGCGGCCATCTTGCGACGCAAGAGCGCCGGATTTCGTCTCGCTAAAGCGGTTTGCTGCGCGGCGCCCCCTGGCGGGCCGCACGCGCCAGTTTGAGCTTGATTGCCCGCCTCGCCGTGCCTCTCTCACTAGGCTTGCAGCACCGTCGCACGGCCTCCGCCCATCCGCCAGGGCGGCGCCTCTAACCTACTCTAACACTCCCTGGCTGCCACCTGCCAGTTGCAGAATGTTAGCCGCGCCACTTGATTTTGCACTAGCGTTTTGTCACGGATCCGAGTCGTGAATCGATGTATTGATTAATGTCAATACTTGATATTGATGATGTAACAGCCATACTAACAAGTAAACATATAGATCGACCCCCGCGCCGGGCCAGGCGTGCGGGCCCTGCCCATTCTCGCAGTGCCGCCCTGATGTTCGCTCAAACCGCGCGACGCGGCGGGCGAATCGCCGGGCCCGAAATGCTTTCGGGCATTTTTTTTTTTTTGTTTTTTGTTATTTTT